TACAAAAAATCTTCATATTATGCTGATCAATGTAACTGCCCTACACTGTCATACTCTGCAAAAATGAACACAAGATAGCCATGAACTGGGAGTGGACCTGAGTATATCACTGGATGAAACTTTGATCAATGCCTCTTCCATTGCAGAAGGTTGAATTTTCAAATACTAGTTCTCTGTGAAATCTTGAAGCCTGGTAACAGTAAGTAACTAATGTGCAAGTACACTGTCAAATCATTATTGTTTGTAAGGAAAAAAACTACTCTAATAAAGAAGCAATGATCAAGAGTTTTATTGTGACTTCCAGTCAAGATGGAGGTGTAGGTAAACATGGTTTGCCTCCTTGTACAACTAAAGCAAAAATTACAACTAGACTACAAAACAAATATCACCAAGAATCAGCAGAAAATCGAGCTGTAGGAAAGTCCAACAATCAAGTAATTAGACACCACATTCATTCAGATGGGTAGGAGGGGTGGAGATGCAGAGACATGTGAAGAGGCACAGAGAGGTGGAATGGGAGGTCCCTCACCTGTGTGGTGGAAAAAATTGGGAGGGATACCTCAGGAGTGAGGGATCCCAGCTCCACAGACCTCCCATCCCAGGGTTCTAGTGCCAGGAAGATAAGTCCCTATAACTTCTGGCTGTGAAAACCAGTGGAGGTTGGGGTGGCAGAAGAAACTGCAGGATTCTCAGGAGTCTCCTTTTAAAAGGCCCACAAGAGACTTAGGATTTACACAGATTCACTCCCTCTGGACTTCAGCACTATGGCCACAGCTGGAAGGGCACCAGTGGCATCTGGGGAGAAAATGAAGTGCTTGGCATCAGGAGGAGTGCCGGGAGACAGCTTCCTCCCAGACAAAACCTAAGAGGCCAGGCCGTGGCATTGTCCCCTCTCTGAGCCCTCCACTGCAGAGAGCCACAGAATGGTGACACAGGTTGCCCCACCCTGGTGATCACCTAAGTCTCCACTCCATCCAACTTACCAGTGTGCCTGTCTACACAATAGGCGAAGCTACTAAAACAGGGAGTCAAGGCAGCTCTACCTAATACACAGCAGCAAACTAATTTTTCAAGGAGTCACAGAAATATGGCCTAAGTGAAAGAACGGAACAAAACTCTAGAAAAAGAACTACTGTATTTTGCCATAATGTGCACCCACGTTTTTGACCCAAACATTCAGGAATAAAATCTTTTGTGTTAATTTTTTAACTCAATTTTTTACTTATATATAAAACCAATTATCATATTCCAGGGTATTATTTTGCACTTGGATACTGTTATTGCTTTCTAGAATTATACTTTTAACACATAAGCATAAATAAAAGAATTAAAAACATTTATATAGATATGGAATTAGTACTACCATGTATAATGCACATCCTTATTTTTCCCTCAAAAATTTGGGCAAAAACTTCACATTGTACACGCAAAACACATTAACAAAATGGAGATAAGCTATCTATCAGATGCAGGGTTCAAAACACTGGTTATTAGGACACCCAGGCAACTCATTGGGTACTTTAACAACATAAAAAGACCCAGGCAGAAAGGAAGGTTACAATATGTGAAATAAAGACAAATTTACAGGGAACAAACAGTGGAGTGGGTGAAGCCAAAAATCAAATCAATGATTTGGAACATAAGAAAAAAAACACTCAATCAGAGCGACAAGAAGTAAAAAAGAATTCAAAGAAATGAGGATAGACAAAGAAACCTTTGGGACATCTTCAAACATACCAACATTCAAATCATAGGGATGCCAGAATGAGAAGAGAAAGAGGAAGAAACTGAAAACTTATTTGAAAAAGTAATGAAGGAGAGCTTCCCTAATTTGTGGAGGAAATATACATACAAGTCCAGGAAGCGCAAAGAGTCCCAAATAAGTTGGACCCAAAGAGGATCATCCCAAGACACATCATAATTAAAATGCCAAAGGTTAAAGATAAAGAGAGAATATTAAGAGCAGCGAGAGCAAAGCAGATAATTACCTACAAGGGAGTTCCCATAAGACCATCAGATGATTTCTCAAAAGAAACTTTGCTGGATAGAAGGGACTGGCAAAATATTCAAAGTGATGAAAAGCAAGGACCTACAACCTAGATTATTCTCTTCAGCAAAGCTATCATTTAGATTGAAGGGCAGATAAAGTGCTTCCCAGACAAAGCAAAACTAAGGAGTTCATCATCACCAGGCCATTACTATATGAAATGTTAAAGGGAACTATATATGAAAAAGATCAAAACTATGAACATTAAAATGGCAATAAATTCATAACTATCAACAATTGAGCCTAAAAAACAAACTAAGCAAGGAAGCAAGCAGAACAGAAACAAAATCATAGATATGTGTAACATTTAGAAGGTTATCAGTTGGGAGGGGGAAGGGGAAGATGGGGGAAAAGATTCAGGGATTAAGAAATATAAACTGGCAGGTACAAAATAGACAGGGACGTTAAGAACAGTACAGGAAATGGAGGAGCCAAAGAACTTATATGCATGACCCATGGACATGAACAAAGGCAGGGGGTATTGCTGGAGGGAATGGAGGTACCTGGTGGAGGGGGGCAAAGGGAGGAAAATGGCACAACTGTAATAGTATAATCAATAAAATATATTTTTTAAAAAGTTTCATTGCTTCAATTTCTTAGTACAACCTGAAAGAATGTGCTCTTTTGCTCCAAGGAACAGAAGTATGAAGCCTACCATTGGCTGAGTTGTCATTTCCTATTCAGGTGGGATTAGCTCTTCATTCTACCACCTTTTATTCTATATTCCCAGAGTAGTTAATTGATAATATTTGTTGCTAAAAGAATGAATTAGAAATTCCTCACACTTGTCCCTAGAGAATAAAGTGACCCTGTATTCCCCTGAACCCATATCATTAGTAGCAACATTAAAAATTTTCAGATATAATTACTTCCAATATCCTAGTCTTTTGTGCTGACCATAGAGATTTAAGGCCTAAGGGATTTCCAAAAGAAGTCAATTATTAAACAAGTATACAAAAAAAAAAGTTCTCTCTCCAGTAATAATACCAGTTCCAGAATGAAAATATAATTGAAAATACTTCATAAGACTCACAGGGACTAAGACTGAAATGAAAACTTAAGACAGGAAAATGGAGGTTAATAACTGTTCTCACAAATTAACCATTATTCTTACTGATTCCAAAACCTCTCTCTGAAAATATTCTAGAGGACACTGTAATGACTCTGTCACTTGGAATTTTCCATGACACAAAGCTCAAACAGCACCAAATCTGCTACTTTGCCTTCATGAAACTACTTTCTGTTCTCTTTTACAAGAAAACTATATTACTTGGCAAAGATCAAGCTCGTCATATGAAAGATACCTAGCCTGAGGTTTGAACACCTTCACTGTCTAAGCCGTATGTGAGTCCATCTTAAAGACAGATAAAATTTATAGTTAAGTATCTGGATCCTGTATGAAGAATATTGTATGTTGGAAAGTTCTATTTCTGATAAGAAATGTGGAATTGATCCCTACCGTTCAGTGCATTTGGGCATAATTAAATGAGAATCAGAGTTCCCTGACCCCTAAATAATTCATTTTTCCCTTTCTTCCATGCTTTATTTTTTGTCTTCATATACTTTTAGTTTTTCTACTTCTATACTTTTCTACACTAATGTAATTGTCAGTAGTTGCTTGCTGAAATTCATCACCCACAGTGTATGGCGGTTAATTGGGAGAGAAATTACATCCAATAAGATGATCCAGCACAGTTTCTGGCAAACCCTCAATACATGTGACTTTTGCTTTTCTTTCTTTCTCAGGTCCAGTCTACAATGCAGCTATAACCGCTCATCAAGTATTTGAGCTGTATCTGTCTTTGAACTACACAATTACTGTGCTGCATGAAAAGTTACAGGTAAATTATGTAATTTTGTTCTTTCTTTTTAGAAATTTTCCAATTAACTTCTTAGAGTGAGGGAGAGAGAAACATCAATTTGTTTTTCCAATTATATGCATTGATTGGTTGACTCTTGTATGTGCCCTGACTGGGGATGGAATCTGCAACCTTGGACTATCGGGACAATGCTCTAACCAACTGTGCTACCTGCTACAGCTATAATTTTATGTTCTGTTCAAAGAGTTGATAAAATACCAGTATTATTCATATGAATTTTTAAAAATACACCAATTGTTTATGTTTTATGTGATATAAAATATCTATAGAGAGAAAATTTTATTTTTTAAACTGTCAATGAAACACCAGATACATTCCTAATGTGAATGGTAAGTTTAGGAGTGATGAAACTGCTTACTTCAAAAACACAGTATTAACTATATCCCTCTGTTGCTATTCTTTCATTAAAATCTATTTTAGTTTTCATAGTTCCTTTTGTCCTCCAATACTCAGTCACATTCTGGCAATGTACTCTGGTGATTGAAGTTGGAATCAAGGAAAACTAGGAGCTTCTGCAATATTCAGCCTCCCATTCATTCTCTCCATCATTAGGTTGTGTTTTTTCTAATCTATAGCTCGTGTGACCAAACATGGCCAAATTTAAGGAATGTACCCATCTCAGTTTCCACACCCATCCCAACACAATCTAGTATCTTCTCATCAATTAATAACCGGCAAGATTCATGTGATGCTGTCTTGAAAATTTGTCCCAGTTGTTTTCTAATTCAGTAAAACTACTGGGTTCAGAAGTGAAGCCAGTGAAAGAAAGATGAAGCCAAAGCTGGTACCCCTGAGGAATTGTTTTGAAATAAAGCTTTAAGGCCTTCCACTCAATTCAATTAATAGGCCACTGTTCTTCTTCTGCCTTCATTAGGAAGAAACAAAAACAAATAAAATAGTACCTGCTATGATCAACAGTATTTAGTCACATGAACATTTGTTTAGGTTTATTTCCTTGCCTTCCAAGAAAAATAGATATTTAAACACCAGTTCCTGAAGATACAATTAAAATTTACTTTTATAAACATAAAAATGAAGAAATGTTATTTATAGCAAAAAAATTCAACATAAAATTTTTTATGTTTTTCATTATTTAATTTCTAGACAGCAATGGAGGTAAGAATTTTTTTAATGTGATTTATATCACAAGAGCATCTTGCTTTCTTGAAAAAGGACCTTTTTAAAATTCCAAGAAGGTCCAAGTACTATAGAATAATCAAGGTCTGCCCATCTGTAAGTAAAACCCTTTAACAGTTATTGAAACGTAAGTATTAATTACAGCCAGGAGAAAGATGTTAGCAGCAGAGAAAAGATGACTTAAGGACTCTTTTTGTTTTCCAAAACTGATGGACATGAGTGAGCTCTGATATCATTGTGTTTAAAAATGGCTTCATCCAGATCCAGCTGTACATCATTAACGTTCACTTCCATACAGCCATTATAAAAGGCATCCACTGGTGTCACATTGAATGGAACAACTGAAAAAGAAAATATTAAAATATTAGCCAAAGACTTCGACCGTCTTATTTGCTTATAGTTACAGGAATTATTCAGGGGTCCCATTTCCAATCAAGTTCTAACTCTAAAGGAAAAGTTAATAATGTAATTCTATTTAGTAAATTCATATTAAAATACTCCTATATACATAAGGTATTGTGCGTGGCACTGAATTCAGCATATATGAGTTCCTCTAATTTCATAAACACAGTTCCATCCAAACCTAAGATAAACACACTTCAAAAAGAGAGAAATGAGCACATTCTTACTTAGGATATTCTACTTCACTATTGTCTCTTTAAATTTGAGCAATAGTTTAAGCATTGTTAAGTCAATTTTCAACTCTAAATTATAGCTACTTGGAAATCTTTTTTAAATGCCAAGATAAATATAGCTCTTTTATTATTACTGGAATAAAGGCAAATTTCTGTATTCTCCAAAGAAATAGTTTCTTGCTGAGCATACAGGGAATTCACTTTCATGTAATATTTGGTTCTAAAAAATAACAATTTTAATGATGCTTCAGTGAATAGTTTATGGCCCTTGGGCCTTTCTACACTTTCATTCTCTTCATCAAACTTAATGCTTAGGTAACACCCTTGGATTCCTAAGAACTATGGTTCATCTTAAAAACATCCATAACTCACTGAATCAATCTCTCTCTGTGTCTTTGGTATCTCTCCTCCCTGAATCTTAATTCCCTGTGAATATTCTCAATCCCTATTCTTTTCCCTTAGTGCCTTATGCAAAAATATACAGTATATACTTTAAATTTTCTACTTTTTAATTGACAATACAGTGAATAAAGTCCATACTTTTCTGTGGGCTTATAGCATCAATTAAGAAACCTTTTCAAGTCTGGTTGAGCACTATAGATTATGCCATTATTTGATTTTTAATTTATAACATGCAATTTAACATGCCTATTTGGCATATCAATTATAATTTACTCACCCCACAGTTTACACTCTTAATATCTCAATTTTCAATCCCCCTTAATTTTTCCTCACTCTTTTCCTAAGCCTATCTTGTCTGAAGTCAGTCTTCAGTGCTATTCCAAAGTCCTGGAACCCCTGAAATTTTCATATTTTTACTTCTTTGAACTCTTTGTTTGATTTCCTAAAATTGCATTCAAATAATTTGTGATTAAGATAGTAGGTGGATTTCAATGTAGAATTTATTCATTTGAGATATAATTGTAATTCCTAACACTTAACCATGCTACCTTAATTGACTTCCTAATAATCAACCAGCTTGCTTAACTATCTTTATCATCTATCTATCTATCTATCTATCTATCTATCTATCTATCTATCATCTATCATCTATATATAACTGTTAAGAGTCTGTGTACTTCTATTCACCCAAAGCTCAGATAAAAATTCCATATTTGGGAAATGACGACCCTGATCAGTTCAAGTAACATAACGGTTACTACAAGTCCAAACATCAAACCCAGAATTCTCTCCATAAGAATAACCTGCCAAGGTTCTTGAAAATTCTTCTAACAAACTTTCTGACTCAATTTTTTGCCATTTCAAGTAAAATATTTATATCAATGTCATATTTTCCAATATTACGTTAAAGGTAAACCTACTCTTCCTCCAGTTCTCTCCATCTTGATTTGAAATCTCCACCCCGGCCACTGCTCATACCGGATACCTAGGAGATGCCATGCCTGCCTTTCAGCCAGCAAATCCCATTAATTTTGTTTCTTACATACATCTCCAGTGAATTCACTGTATACCATCTCAACTCTCATCACCCTAGTCCAGCAGCTTCCTCATCTGTATAATGGAGATAATAACAGTACCTATTTCACAGTGTGTGAAAATTCAGTGAGTGGATAGATTTGAAGCACTCTTAACACTTCCCAGGTTGTTTATTACGTACTAGTTGTTGGGAGCATAGTCGTCGCTGCTGTTATTAATACTGCTTCCTCAGCTGGACTATTTCAGAAGCCCCCAGGGCATCTTGCCACTGTTGCCTCCAGTCTGTCCATCTTGACCCAATACACAGGGTCAATTTTTTTTAACTGCTTTATTGATGATATAAAACTTCGTCTAAAATTTTTTAATGATTTCCATAGCTATTAAAATAAGACTCAGGACCCTGAACCAGGCCTATACCCTTCCCAACCCACCCCCTACTGCCCACCCCTTCCCAGTTCAGAGCCTCCTCCTATCCTGTCACTCCTCCCCCACATCCCACCCAACATGCTTCCACCATAGTGATCTATCTATATTCCTCAAGCAGGGCAACCCACTCCCGTTTTTCCCACATATAGACCATTTTACTTGTATATTAATGCCAATCCCCACCCCCATTGACTGGTTAAATTCATTTAATCCTTCAAGTATCTTAATCTTTTCTTCAGGGAGCTTGTTTCTGGCCGTCAAAACCAGAACACTTCCCCATTTTCAGGCTCTAAAAATAACCTATACTTTTCCTTCATAGAAGTTAGAATTTTAATTTTTTAAAAATTTTCCTAATTATGTGTTTAATGTCGGCCTCTGCCACTAGATTGTAAAAGCCTTAATAGCGGGAATCATATCTATCTGTTTATTACTGTATTCCTAGTGCCTGGCGCATAGATTCTTAAGCAATATTGGGTGGGTGTCAGATGAATTAAAGAATAAATACTGAATTCACAAGACAACTGTAAGGATGAAAATGAAATAATAAATTCTTTCTGGTGTGTATAGTCAAATGTCGCAAAATTTGGTTAGTTTCAGTTGATTGTTAAAAAACATTTTTAAAAATACCAATAAAATGCCAATACAAACACTCAGGAAAAGAACAATGGGTACTGGAATTTTGTCTTCCATGCCCTTTGACTAAAATTATATATTTAAAATACTATCAATTTGATTTAAACTATGCTTTTTAAAATTGATGAAAACCTAAGCACATACCTGGAAGGCCACCCAGGTAAGTGGCTACCGTTCCTTTCATTGCTTTGTCCAAGATGCCAAATTGTCTTTGAAGATCTTCAGAGTAGATGACATCATCTTTCAGTGGAGTTGACAGCTGCAGACTTTTCCTGTTGATTCTGAATTCCAGATGGGAACGTTGATTGGAACACAGACTTATGGCCTCTATCCGAGATATTACCACATTTTCAACAGATACCAGGATATCCTGAGGGATAGGCAGACTCAATATAAGCAAGTACTAGTGGTAATGCCACTTATGAGTGTGAGTTTTTGAAATTCAGTTTTTTCAGAGAAAAAAAAATGTATGACAGAGCCTCTAAGTTTAAATGAAAAAAAAAATCTATCATAATAATCATTTTAGAATATACATTAGTGTTATAAACTTAAGGTTTAGCAAAGATGTAAAAGCATGGTGGCTCCTGAAAATTCAATAAACCAACAGAGTTGTGACACCAACAACGGGAACCTCAGGCAACAATACTTAAGTCTTAAGCAATACTTTCCTGTCCTACCTTTAAAACTTACTTATGAAAAAGAAAGGAGTTGAATCACTATTGGTTGGGAAGAGAAAGCACTAAAAAATTTAAAGTGCTTTATTAAGCATAGGCCAGCAAGACTGAGAGGACTTTCATGCCACTCACACAATCCTATAGACTTGGGACGAAGTGTATGAAGAAACTCACAGAGAAAAAACAGGGATTGCCAGCAATAAATTACAGATTATTTATCAGAAGATTCTCAAAAGACAAAACGTATTCACTTAGCTGAGCTTTTCAAACTACTGACATGCAAAATTACTGAACGTGTTGAGAGTGATGTATGCATATACCCTACATAATATAGAGAGGAAATGTAAAACATAAGACAGAAAATAAAACCAAAACTAAGGAGATGCAGGGCTCTCATGCTTCCCAGATGACAGAAAGACAGCCTGAAGTGTTTACTTAGGAACCCAAGATACCTATGTTAAGTGAAGTCTATACATCACAAATACAGGTTATTCCAGGAAATCTGTTAACTGTGTTATACATTTTGTATCCCTGAACTCATTAAGACTTAAAGATGGTTGGATGAGAAAATGTTCCAAAATGATCAGTAGTGTGTGGAATAATGTTAGGAAATAATGTACACAGATCTTGAGAAGGCAATCTGACATGCAAAAGCAGGAGGCAGTGGAGACAAACACAGAAAGATAATCATCAAAGACATGGCTAGCATGAACCCTCACTGCATGAATGTAGTATTAGAGATGGAAATCCACTTTGTTTTTAAAAACAAAACAAACAAGCAAATAAAAAGCTAAGGTCCTAACGTAGTAAACTCCTGTGGTGGTAGATGGGAGACTAACTCAGCAGGATCTCTTTAGGTTTCTTATGGTTAACAACCACAAACTCCTCTAAATTATATTTTAAGTTGCAGACAGCATCCTTTTATTACTGCAGGCATTATTCAATTATATGTCTCTTTCTAAAAGCTACCAAGAGCATCCAAGCCAACCTTGGCACAAATGCAAGGTTCCTGCTATAACCTGCTGGAATCCACTCTCAGTGGCACATGAACAGAGCTATTATTCTCTAACGGAAAGATGAATAATACAGATCTTCTGGTGACTCTCATGTTTCCTTTGAAGCAAGAGTTTTCCCTGTTCTTCCTCCTAATTTCAAATCAGAGTTGCCAGCAGGAAGCCAAGTGGACTGGTTTTAGTTTTCTCTAGTCTTTTCCAATTGATGGATGGGATAAAAGATTAAGTGTGCCAGGAAGCACAAAATATTATAATTTGGCACTGAGTATCTGAGAGCAGATTGTAGTCAAGCTCACTCCTATTGTGTTAGTATACATTAATTCTCATGATACCTCAAGGATTCTGAATAAGAATGGATCCCTATGCACATTGGGAAGGCACCAAGCAGCCTGTGTGTGAGTCTGCCTAATCTTAACCACAGATGCAATAAGCCTTTCAATTTCGCACCCTCACGTCTTGGCTCAGACCTAGAAATAAGCCAGTAAAAAAGTAACAATAATGAACTCATTGAGTCCTTAATGATGTGCTAGAGAATGTATCAAATACTTCACACCAGTTATCTCATTTAACTTTCAAAATAGCACTTTGCGATAAGTACTGCTATTATACCCATTTTACAGATTTTTTTAAAAAAAAGATCATAAAGGTTCAGAAAAAAGTTACCTGAAGCTTTTCAGAGGAGGAGTCAACCAAGGACAAGGCAAAAGGCACTGTGTCACCAGAAACCAAGGCAAACATAACTCCAGTACCCATAGATGGGCGAATATTCAAAGACACATTTACTTGCCAAGCCTCAGGATTCGATACATTGTCTGTTTGAACAATAAAACAAAATTAGAATCAAAGTAGACCAGAAGGAATTATTACAATGTTATTAGTATACAAATCCATTTTTGTGTAATAGTAGAGAGTTTTTAAAAAAGATTTTATTTATTTGTTTTTAGAGAAAAGGGAAGGAGAAAGAGAGCGAGGGAAAGAAACATGGATATACGAGAGATACACTGATCAGTTGCCTCTCACACCCCCCCAACTGGGGACCTGGCCCACACTTGTGTCCTGACTGGGAACTGAACCAGTGACCTTGTGGTTCACAGGCCAGCACTCAATTCACTGAGTCACACCGGCCAAGGCTAATATTAGAGATTTTGGTTCTCCTTTTCTCAATGGTCTATATAACCTAGGCAAAAAAAAAAGAAAAAAAAAATGCAGACAATAAACACATAAATGGAGCCCCATCTTTACGTTCTTCTTCCTAGAGTAGAATAGTTGACTATGGTATTTAGGATTATTGCAAATTTTCCATTTGCTCTTTAACTGCTCTTCCTTCTGCTTTGCGTATTCACCAATGTTAAAATCTCAGAGTGGTCACATTTTAAAGTAAATATTTAGAAGAAAGTTCAACAAATTTATAATGTTTCTGAGGGGAAATTTCATTATGGCTGCCATCACAACCTCATCACTTCTCATCCATAAAGGGGTAAGGGTAGAGCTATAGAAAGAAAAAATACAATTTATATACATAGGGGAGTTGGGTAGTTTGATAGTAGAGAAATCCTCTTAAGTGGTTACCTTTGACATCTGAATAGAAACTCTTCTCTGCACCATGGCTGGTGTGGCTCAGTGGACAGAGCACCAGCCTGCAAACCAAAAATTCCCAGTAGGGCACATGCCTGGGTTGCAGGCCAGGGTCAGGTCCCCAGCAGGGGGTGCACAAGAGCCAACCACACATTGATGTATCTCTCCCTCTCTTCCTCCCTTCCCCTCTGTCTAAAATAAATAAATAAAACATTTAAAAAGAAAAAAAGAAAAAAAAAACTCTTCTCTGTGATTCTCTTGCCATAATACCTAACGCTCTTTTTCTTAATTACTAGCTAAGTTGTCTACCACACTAGAATGCAAGCTCTCTACATTTCTCTACCATCATTTTGTTTTCCATAGAAGTCACTTAACAAATATTCATTGAATTAATGTTTCCAAAATAGTTTGATTCCTAAAAATGTTAGCTCGCACTCTGAATGAAGTCTTTCTCATTTAATATAAAGTAATATATAACAATGACTTAGAGACTTAGAGAGGATAAATGTGAATGGAAAAAATAATTTCCCTTTGACAAGATGTCCTTCCTTTTAGCCACATCTAATACTGTTATATTTTTTCATTATAATCCTCTAATTCCTGCCCACAAGAAAAAATATATATTATGTATAACCATTTTGAAGTAAATTTAGTATAAGGTATTAACAAAATTAAAGTGAAGTCAATGTGCAAATAAATGCACAGAAATTATAATGTAACATTAAATAGTAATTTAAAAGTAGTTCTCTTTCAAGTTATTTATTTAAAACTAATTACTTATTAAAGCATTTTTTCAGATACAATATAACTCTTATTTTCATTTTTTTCTGAGAGTTTTTTTTCTTTCAACAAGTTGTTGTAGGCCAATTATTTTCCTATATTCAGTCATTAACCCAGTTTAAACATTTTTTTAATCCTTCATTTACAAAATGAAGTAAAAGTTAAAGACATTGTATAAATTGTGTTAGAAAAACAAAGTATTGGTATAAGGCTCTTCCTTAAAACTGCAGTAAGTCTTTTTTAGGCTGCAAATAAACACTGTTAAAATATAATTTTTTCTTACAGCAGAGATATGAGACTAATACTAAGTTTATAATGCAAATTCATAGTAGATCAAGTAATAAACTCCTAAAACAGAAAAAGACAAAGAATTCAATAAAATAATTAACATATACCATATGAAGGGATATTCAACTTAAGTAGAAACTGGGATAACACTATTTAAAACTACACATAAGATTTAATTTTTCAAATCTCCAACTGAAGAGAAATCTCAAGCATAAACCTATTTATTCTGTTGGTAGAAGTATTAATTGATAAAACTTCTTTAGAAGATAGTCTGATCAAACAGTAAGAATTATATATTTGCATAACCTCAGAGAGATGTAATCTGAGAATCTCTCCTACAGAATTACTTAAGAGTACAAGCATGTATGTTCAAGGTTATTCACGGAAGTATTATTTGAAAAGGTAAAAAACCGGAATCATGCTGGTAAGTCCGTTTAAGCTGTAGGAAACTGGGAAGAGCATTGCTCCACCCTTGCAACATCAAGAGCCCAATAGCTGCAAAATCTCAATTTTTCTGAGACTATCAAAGAGCTGAGATTGCAGAGTAACTAACTACAGGAATCTAAAGAAAAACGTCTGCAAGCAGTACTTCACCCAAAGCAGACACTATATACTATACAATTTGGTAGGAAGAATTCAGGTAAAATTTTAACAACTTGCTAAAGTCCTAGTGGGAGCTAGTATGATAAAGAAGCTCCAGGAACTGCAGACACGCGAGAAATGCATACTCATTCACAGCCTTTCTACATGGACCTCCTCAGGTGCTCCAGAGAAAAACTGGGGACAGAGAAAGAGGACTAGCAACTTGCAGGAAAGACACAAAGTCCCACCCAGATCCTTCTCTGTTACTTCTACAAAAGCCTTAAAGTGTGGGGGAAAGGTAGCAGACCTTCCACCTTAGGACACATGTGAAGAACCATTGTACCTACAGATTAAGAAAAGGAAACAAGGGGAAAAAAAAAAGCAAAGAACAAAATGATCTACCATGAAAAAGGAACAGAAGAACACCTTGAATCCTAACCAGTAGACATCTGCCCTACTGGTGTGAGGGACAGGCACACAATGAAGGGTCCACACCCTGAGACCCAGGAATACAACGTTCACCTATGACTGCATCTGTGCCAGAGCAATAGAGAATGTTCTCCACGCTAGTCACCAGCCCCCAAACCCCTCTAGCATGCTAACAGATGTCAAGGAACAAGAAAGAATGCTTTACTGAGTGAGGCAAGACCATGGAAAGATACTTTCTTGACACATATCTTAAAGAGAATACCTAAACCTTAGTATGGATCAGCTATTAAGGAAAATCCTCTGGCAAACCATCTGCTACCCTAAGTACAACATAATATTAAAGGAATTTGAAGACTAGTCACAGAAACAACAAAACCTAAGCTGTTCAACTCTTGACAAGATTGATTCAACATCCCTCATTAAGGACCTAGCACAAGTAAAGGTGTGCTCATTTCCAGATCTAAATATTATTTACTCCGTCTCTACACTTTTACATAAGATGCCCACCTTTAAAACAGAAATTATGTGATGCAGAAGGAAGAAAGGAAAAAACAACATATGGTGAAGAGACAAAGCAATCAGCGTGATCAGGCTTAGATGTGACACAGATGTTGGAACTATCAGACGGGGAACTTTTTAAAATTTTGATTAATATGTTGAAGGCTCAAGTGGAAAAGCTGGACAACATGTATGAAGAGATAATGAATTTCATGAAAGAGGGGGAAATTTTAAGAAAAGATCAAATGGAAATGCCAGAAATGAAGATGAATCCTTTTGATGCATTAATCAGTAGACTCAATACAACTGAGAAACTGTTAAACCTTCAATTGAATTTACCCAAAATTAATCAGGCTATATGCCAATAATCTTTAAATAAAAACACATGCATATTCAACTATCCCTCCCCTGCCAATATGCTGGGAAAATTTTATAAAGTGTATATAACAATATGAATAAGCCTAACACTATGCCTGGCACAAAGTAGGTACTCACAGTGTTTACTGAAGGAATTGATGTTTGTCAATGAATAAATTTAGTCATTAATGAGAATAAAAAGATAAAACGGGAAATCACTTACAATAATCTATGTTAAATTGAGCAGCTCCAGAACCAGGATAGTAGGAACCTTTTTCCAAAGTGATAAAACAATGTTTATTTTGTTTTTCTTTAATAACTTTCTCTACTTTTGAAGTTCCTTGACTCATCAAATTCCAGCCTCGTATACATCCATCTAGACGAGGATTAATCTAACAAAATAAAATATACAACAAGGAGTGCATTTTTAACTTCTAAGTCAGACTAATAATGGCTTAAGAGATTACATATACAGATTTTTGTTTACAAGGAAAACCTTTTCTTTGATGACATTTTTAAATTTTTTAAATGTTTTGAATTTTATCTAAAATTTTCTTTTCAAAATGTCCTTCAGATGGACAGTCTTTTCCAGTAAAAGTGAGTTTATGCCATTGCAGGCCTCCACTAAGGTCCTAATAACTATTAATACTTCAAGCCCTACCTGCTTCTTCTACATCATTCAGGGATAACTTTTCTGCTCTCGGGTTCCATGTATGCTTCTAGCTGTGGCCTTGGGTGGGCTCTCTGCTGCTTTTTATTTTTCTTTAAGTGCATTTACCACACAGGTTTGTCTTGCCACAAGACTCAAAGTGTCTTCAGGAATTAAAGTGTTTCCATCCTTTAGTCTCCTCATGACATCCCATCAGATTAAAGATGGGTAGTAGCCATTTCATAAATAGTTGATTTTTTTCAAAAAATTTATTTTACTTTTAAAATGTCTTGACTTATTAATTTCAAAGGACAGGTATATTCACTCTGAAATGGGTTAACTAATTCAGGTTTTATATCATATCGCAGAAATCTTTTAAGCTAAAGTAACTGTGAATTGCCATGAGTGAAAGATGGATATAAAATAGCAGATATTTAAGTTATATGAGCAGGTGCAATTGGCAGATGAAATATTTAAAACTCTTCAAGGACAGTGATTATTCTTCCTCATGAAAGCTATTCCACAGTTAGTAGACAAACATCACATTCAGAAAGTCATCTACTATAACTTCAATTTATGATAAGCTATAGTATATTCCCAGTAAAGATTTCTTAAAAATAAAAGAGTTCCACCTTATGTGCCATTCTTATCTCCAAAATTTAAGTCCTAAAATAGACCTAAGAAAGCTCTTTGACTAACTGTACAACATAATGTATTTTTGGATTCAAATACATGTATTTCTATATTTAATGGCTAAGTGTTATGATGTTAGCAGCGAATGGAAGCTTAATGATTCAAAATTTTTTTATTTTGGATTAAATGGGCTCAAAAGCACTACACTCATTTTCTTATTTCCTTAAATAATTTCAAGGGCCACTAATGTTATTTTTCCATGTTCAATTCAAGTTTACATAGTTGGTATGTTCAATAAATTAACTTCTTTTGACTTCAGTAATACTTTCAAATCTATTACAAGCAAAAGGACTTTATCCATGATGAATGATATAAGCTTGGATCATTACCGGTTTAATGAGTGTATCCTCCACTTTCCGAGGTAATCCTGCAAAATATACTTTGGTTTCTACAGATCCATTTGTAGACTTAAAAAGGCTTTCAGGTATATTTATATTCATTGTGGCTTCTTTAGCTATTTTCACACTAATACTCTTTTCTAATTCTTCCACAGAGACCTAAAATTAAAAACAGAGAGATTATCAATCAAACATCATTGCATGTCATTTTAAATACTAAGTTTGAAAAACTTGTTATTATTCCAGTAAATAATTTTCCAAAGCAATCATTTTAATGTAATTATTAATTTGTTCCAATCCATTTGAAATGTCAAATGATTATAAAGGTGATAAAAAATGTGTTTTAGAGGAATAGTACTTGATTGAAAATTAAATGACTATATTTTAAAGTTTAAAAAAATCAATATTATTCTGTTGAATTTAAATAACCAATTATAATATATGTCCTTCAAGCCAGTATACCATAAAATAGACAGTTTTTTAAAAAGTGAGTCACTTCTACAAACTCTTAAAAAACTTTTAAGTGCTCTTATTTGGCAATTGTCTGATAGTACACATACAGAATCAATAATGTAAATAAATTCTTCATTTAAATTAAAAGAAATCAGTACAACAAACATTCTGGTATTACACAAAAATTATATTTTATTTCAAAAATTCAAAATTAATTGAGGTTTTTAGGACTCATAATACATGAAATTAAACTTTTTTTCAAATTTTGAATGTAGTTTGAGTTTCAAAAAATATATTGGTAGTGATAGTAAGCAACAATAAAAAAATTCTCCTATAAAGAACCAATTCAAAGAACCATTGTTGCAATCTCATGTAAAACTGTAGTACTCAATGTGCAAATTCTTCATTTACTAATCATTAATGGGAGCCAAACAATAGGCATATTAAAGCATCACCACAGGAAGAAAAACGCTATGCACTAAAGTAAAGTAAATTCGGTAACGTTTATGGATTTAGGTGGCACACACTCTGTTCTTAACATAGTCCTAATGACTATTCCCTCCTTGAAAGACATTCCTAAGAGCCTCTTCTAACCTCACCTTGGCTTGGTTCTCCTATCTTCTTACCATTCCTTCTCAGTCTCCTTGCTACATCCTCCTCTTGTTCTCAAGCTCTATAAAAACTCAGAGGCCCACCTCCAGACCTTTTCCCTTTAGCCATCCAAGTATTTCTAAATGGGCACTCTATTGCCCCAGCCTAGGGCTTTTGGAAAGTTTAGGGTGGGGGTTACTTTTAGTTGTTGAAATGAGTAGGAGGTGTGCTAACTCTGTAATATGCAGGATAGTCATGAAAAATAAATAATAAAATATCCAATATCCTGCAAATCTTCTGAATATCCCTACTGGATAGTCATGCTTATAATTATCTGAGTTTGTGTATACATAAACACAAAATATTCACTATATTATTTTAGCATTTACTGAATTTTTTAAGAATGTAACAGTCTTGTAAATCAAGTATGGATTAATGTTTCTTTTGTTTGGACCTTCATCAAGAAGTTTCTGCCATTTTGAAAAATTACTATAACTCATGACAACCCCATTTATGCCCTTATGGTATTTTAGTTGCCCGTACAACAACCAGCATATGTCTGCAATTTTAGCTTTCATGTTATTTTATGTAGAGGAGCAAGATTTGACAAGTGTTATATTTGTACCTGAACATTTATATATTGAAATATACATTATTTTCTTATAAAGTACTTTGCTTCATTTTATAATAATTAAAACATTCTATTGATTTTATATTAGAGATCTGTGGAGGTAGCTTACATTATTAATACATTTCATTATAGGACAGGAAAGGAACATTATAAATATTTGGACATTGGACGAGAGAGTTTAGAACTGCAGGTTGACACACCCAATTTCATGGCCTTTAAACTTCTCTTTATGTTAATATTCAAAAGTTTATATTTATCTTGAAGGTTTGACCTTAAAAATATATCCAGAATCTGATCACTTATCACCACTCGCACCATCAACACTCTAAAAAAAGTTGCCATCTTCTCTCTACTGGATTATTGCAATGGTCTCCTCATCCCATATCCTGTTCTGCACTTACGCTCTACTATCTAGTTTTCACAAAGCCATGAGTTCCTGATCAGAATTAACTTTTAAAATGCAAATTAGATTATGTCATGTCTGAAGTCATCCAAAATCTTTCTGTTTAACATTAAAATCTAAGTCCTCACTATGTTCCCCAAGGCCCTATACTACGTTATTCCAGATCACATTTTTGGCCTCATTTTCTACTACTCTCTTCCTATCTCAGCCCGCTGCATCTACACTGACCTTAGTGTTGTTCCTCAAACACAACAAACACTTCCTCTTACTTAAGACTCTACATGCTGTTCACATGGCATAGAATCATCTCCCCCCATGTATTCCTCATGGCTTGTGCCCTCAAATCTCTGGTCAGATGTAATCTCCTCAGAGATAGCTTTCCTGATTCCATATGCATGCTCACCATCATGACTCTCTATTGCCTGGCCTTTCCTTTTTCCTCATCATTATCTGACATATCTACTTGTCCATGTATTTCTGGTTTTCATCTCACCAAGAGAATGAAAGCTCCATAAAAGCAGTGACTGTTTTATTTACCTTTTTATCTTTATCACCTAGAAGAAGGGACAGCATATAAAGCGCTCAATAAATATTTTGCTGAATGAATGAAATTATACTAATTACATATTTCCCACCAATATTATGATTAAATCTAAATAGAAGATATAATAATCACTTTAAAAAATCAATATTTCTATGGATTATAGCCATCCTAAGTACTTAATAATTACACATTCTATTCAATTTATCTGAATTATAAAGCAATTATAAGTTACACATTTTAATTCTAATTTCTTATTTTTACACTATTTTATTTAAAATTTTAAAATAATTTAAAATTAGTAAAACAATAGTTATATAGTAAATAGTCCACCTGACACAGCGATTTAACTTAACAACTTTGTTGATTAAAATGTTACCTAGAGCCCTGGCTGGTGTAGCTCAGTGGATTGAGTGCCAGCTTGTGACCCAAAGGGTCACAAGTTCAATTCCCAGTCAGAGCACATGCCTGGGTTGCAGGCCAGGCCATGAGTTGGGAGTGTGTGAGAGGCAACCATACACTGATGTTTCTCTCTTTTTCTCCCTCCTTTCCCCTCTCTCTAAAATAACTAACTAAATAAATAAGTAAAATCTTTTAAAAAAAAATGCTACTTAGACTTCCAGCCAAGATGGAGGCATACGTAAACACTTCACCTCCTCGGAACCGGGGAGTCCCGACTCCCTCCACGTTCAGTAGTCTCCAACGGAGGCTGGAAAGGCGCGACCCCAAAGAGGCAGAAGCGGGGCACGCATGAACCAGACTGCCTGTGATTGAAACACAGTCCGCACAGGGGTTGGATCCTCGGCCAAAGGGGTCACAGAACTGCCCAGAGGCCCCTAAGGGGAGACTAGAAACGGAGGCACTGAGGAAAGAACGGGAGGAGGAACCGGGGAGTCCTGACTCCTTCTCCTTGCCGAAGTCTCCATTGCGCGGGAAGAGGCCACACGCCCAAAGAGCCAAAAGCCGAAAAGCAAACATAGACACCCCCAAAACACCCAGAGCAGGCGCGCACACTTGCGCCGAGTGACTGGCGAGGGTTGGCGAGCGTGTGTGTGACCCACGCGGGCTGGCGAACGCTTGCACCTGCCGGCAAGGCCTCACACAGACTGGCACCCATACGGCCTGCGAGGGATTGCTCAGAGGGGCAAGGACAGGCGTAAATTGACCTACCCGCCGCGACTGCGGAGCAGTCCACAAAATAAGTGGAACTGCCCAGAGTCCCTGGAGGAGAGACCATAAACAGGATTAACCGGAGAGTCCTAGAGCTGATTTCCTCCCATTTCCGTAGTCCCCATTTGGCAAGGGCAAGCAACGCACCCAAAGAGCCAAAAGCGGGGAAAACACACAATAGAAGACCCTAAACTGACCAGTGCCGCGAAGCTCGCGTGCCAGGGAGGCCAGATGAGCACGGGAGGTCGCGAATAAGCCCCCTGGTCTGGGGCAAACACATGCGAGCCCAGGCAGGTGGGGGACCCTGCCGCGCTGGGAGCGCGCTCAAGGAGCTCTCGTGGGAGCGCAGAGAGATCCCAAAAAATAGCCCAGCCCTGACCGAAGGGGTCACAGAGCTGCTCCAAGCAGGAGTCAGACACAGGCATTAGACTCCTAAAAGACTCAAACAAACAACCCAAGGCCCAATAGGGTCAACAACTGACATCATCAGAGGCAAGCCCAGAAAGAAAAGGACAAAAATACTTAACAGACTCTCACAAAAATGGGAAGAAAAAGAAGTTCTCCCCAAATGAGTGGAAAAGGGACCTCCCCACAGAGAGAGCTCAATGTAATAGAGGCAAGGGAACTATCAGATATTGAATTCAAAGCAATGGTTCTAAGGAAGCTCAATGAGCTCAGCCAGCTCAAACAGAACTATGAGAAACTGCAGAGAAACTATCAGGATCTTACAGCAAACTATATCAGCCTGGACAAGGACATAGAAACTATCAAGAAGACACAAGAGGATATGAAGAATACCATTTCTGAATTGAAGAACACGGTAGAAGGAATCCAAAGCAGGCTGGATGAAGCCGAGGATCGAATCAGTGAGATGGAGGACAAGGTAGAAAAAAGCTCCCAGAAAGAACAAGAAATGGAAAAACGGCTCAAAAAGAATGAAGAAGCATTTAGGGAAATGCAGGACAACCTGAAACGCAATAATATCCGCATAATAGGGATACCAGAAGGAGAAGAAGAGGAGCAAGGAATAGAGAACCTCCTCGAAAAAGTAATGATGGAAAATTTCCCTAATTTGAGGAGAGAAAGGCTCTCATGGATCCAGGAGGCACAGAGGACCCCACTCAAGAGGGACCCAAGGAGGTCCACTCCAAGACACATCATCATTAAAATGGCAAATGTCAAAGACAAAGAGAGAATCCTCAAGGCAGCAAGGGAGAAGGAGAAAGTAACATACAAGGGGGCCCCCATACGCCTAGGAGCTGACTTCTCAACAGAAACACTACAAGCCAGAAGGGAATGGCAACAAATATTCCAAGCCATGAAAAGCAAGGGCCTACAGCCAAGGCTGCTCTACCCAGCTAGGCTCTCCA